AGAGTGTGGTGGAGGCTCCTTCTTTGGAAGCTTTTAAACAGAGGCTGGATGGCCATCTGTCAGGGGTGATTAAAATGCAATGTTCCTGCTTCTTGGCAGGGGTTGGATTGTATGGCCCATGAGGTCTCTTCCAACTCTTTGATTCTATGATTCTATTCCTAATGTTCAGTACAGCTCTAGGATAAAAGTTATCTTTAGTTTATTTGTCCTTGTCATTGTCACACTGTACTGTCTGCCAGATGGTAATAATTTTTTAAAAAGTATATGCTGGGTGAGATGGATTCCCAAGAATGCTCTGAGCTTTATTAAGGCTGGGGGACCTATAAAGTTCTTCCAAAGAGGGGAGAAAGAGGGCAACCAATGCTTCTCTGTGCAGAAGTGGGGACCCTTTGGAATGCCTTCTGTGCAGTTACCAAACCATGCACAGATGCAGTAGGTTAGGACACTGTGTATAGCACAATGGTAGAAAGTCACAAGCAGTTTTCCATTCAGTTCCTTAGAAGTCTCCGCATTTCACCACACTAGAGAAAAAATACACTTAAAATCCAGTTTCTGCCCTCTGCAGAATTCTGGGGTTTGTAGTTTAGTGAGGCTGTTAAAGGCTCCTCCCTAAACTACAAACCCCAGATTTCTGCAAGAGGCAGAAACCGGATTTTAAGTGGATTTTTTCTCTAGTGTGGTGAAGTGCTGAGACTTCTAAGGAACTAACAACTGAATGGAAAACTGCTTGTGACTTTCTATCATTGTGCTATTGGCATTGCTTAAGTGTAGTACCATACATTTTGCTAGCTTTGGTCCATTGCAAAAGGTCCCGGCTTCCGTCCTGCAGAGTCCAGTTCTAGAGCGCTTGCTACAAGGAGAGTTCCGGGTCGTCTTCATTGCGTTCCCGCTTCACGGGAGGCTCCAAGTCATCTTTTTCCAGGAGATGAGTAGACATGGAGGTGAGGTCACCGACCTCAGCCATGAGGGCAATGGGGGTCTCTAATCTGCGAAGGCCATTTTGGATCCAGACCTGTCCTCTGGGATATTAGCTGTCCCTCTCAATTTGGTGTCATCTTCATACTTGATCAGCATGCCTTCTGTTCCATCATTGTTGAATAGCCCTGGGCCAAGGACAGGAACCTGTGGCACAGTAATATATGAAGCAGCCTAGAATTACTTTGCTGCCCCATGTTCTAATGCCGGTGCTGTTTTTCCTCTCCTCCCGCTTCCCAGAACACCTGGAGCAAGTGCCGGGTTCAGATCCCCGCCTGGGCCGCTTCCGCTTCTTCTTCAACTTGAGCAGTGTGCCGCTGATTGAGGCCATCTCTACCGCGGAGCTACGTCTCTTTCGTGAGCGGGTTCCTGAGGCCGCAGAGGAGGATGAGCATGACCTCCACCGGATCAATGTTTACGAGGTGATGAAGCCGTGGCGGGACGGGGAGGACCCGGTCACCCGGCTGCTGGACACTCGCCTGGTGCGCCACAACGTGAGTGGCTGGGAGAGCTTCGACGTCAGCCCGGCGGTGTCGCGATGGACGGCGGGCGGTCAGCCCAACCACGGCTTGGCGGTGGAAGCCATCCACCTCCACCCCAAGCAAACTCAGCAGGGCCGGCATGTCCGGATGAGCCGCTCTTTACCTCAAGGCGGGGGGCGCCTAGAGGACAGCGCTTGGGCCCACTTGCGTCCACTTCTGGTGACTTTTGGCCACGATGGTCCCAGTGGCTCGGCCCTGACACGCCGACGGAGGGCTAAGCGGAGCCCCAAAGGACCAGGTGGCTCTGGCGGGCGGGGACAACGCAAGGGCAAGAAGAACTGTCGGCGCCACGCCCTCTATGTGGACTTCAGTGATGTGGGTTGGAATGATTGGATTGTGGCTCCGCCGGGCTACCAGGCCTTCTACTGCCACGGTGACTGCCCCTTCCCCTTGGCCGACCACCTCAACTCCACCAACCATGCCATTGTCCAGACTCTGGTCAATTCCGTCAACGGCAGCATCCCCAAAGCCTGCTGTGTGCCCACCGAGCTGAGCGCCATCTCCATGCTCTACTTGGACGAGTATGACAAGGTGGTCCTCAAGAACTACCAGGAGATGGTGGTCGAAGGATGTGGTTGCCGTTGAGGACTGGTATCAAAGAGGGAGCGGGCCAGCCAAGGAGCGTTTGCTGGGGTCGGAGTGATGGCGTTGGACTACAAAGCCCAACATCCATAGGAAGATGAGTCAGGAGTTCTGGGATGAAGAACAACCAGCCAAGGGACAGACTGGACATGGGAAGGAGACCAGAATTGGTGGGCAAAAGAGTGGGCTCCAATCCAATCTAGGAGTTTTAGATTATCACACTATACTGTTACAGCATTGTTCTTCTACTATTCTTCCTGTGGAAGCCTGGGATTTGCAGTTTAGGGATGGGCCTTTAAAGTTCTCAGCCACAGAGATCTTGGGCCTCACTACAAACTACAAAGCTCACGATTCCACAGAAGGCAGCAATAGCAGTGAAAGTGGAATAACAGTGCTTTAATAGTGTGGTGTGATAATCTTCTAGGCCCTCTCCTTTGCTGAACGTTGTCATGCTCAGAGAATTAGAGAGAGCAGTGCTTGGGAAATGGACTTTGTGGGACTACAGTGCCCAGCATCCCCAGGAGGATGGATATTTGTGGGGCTTTTGGGGAGATTTGGTCCTTCCAAGGGAAGGTTTCAGGGCTTTGCGAGACTATAGTGCCCAGCATCCCAAGTAGGATGGGGTTTTTTTGAGGATTTCTGGAGATTTGGTCCCTTCTGAGCTCAAGAGTTCTTGGGGAACTCTGAGAAGGAGAAAATAGTTGGGAAAGAGGGATTCTGGAAGCTACAGTCCAAAAAGGTAACAAGGAATTATGGAAGATTTGAGGATTCTGGGAGCTGCAATATCAAATCCTAACTTTTCCAAGCTCAAAGAAAGCGGGGCAGGAATGTTTGATAAACTATTTCTATAACGGCGCTCCATGCAGTCATGCCGGCCACATGACCTTGGAGGTGTCTACGGACAACGCTGGCTCTTCGGCTTAGAAATGGAGATGAGCACCACACCCCAGAGTCAGACATGACTGGACTTAATGTCAGGGGACTACCTTTACTATGTAGACAAATCCCCTAGTTTTCCCCAGAGTAACTTTTAAAAGTAGAAAGAGAGCATTGAAACCTTTCTTTGGTGGATTGCAACTCCCAGAATCCACCAACCTCCAGGGGATTATGCGAGTTGCAGCTGGACAATTTTGGAAATTTGCTGAGTTTGGAATACAAAAAAAAAGTTACTTTACGGGCCTCTCATTCTCGGAATGTGTCCTGCAAAAGTTCCTTTCCCAAAGCCTGATTTAAGACACATAACATGGAGAAAAACATTTTCCGCATCGGAGGATGCTTGCCATAGATGCAGGCGAAACGTCAGGAGAGAATGCCTCTAGACCATGGCCATACAGCCCGAAAAAACCTACAACAACCCATTCTTCCCATCCTCCTCCTTCTGTTTCGCCAGTTTTGAAAGAATGGGCGGGTTGATTTTATGTTAAATTCCTAAAAGAAATGGGAACACAAAATCTCGCAAAATGCCCTTTTTCTCACCTTACCTCTGAAGGAACGCCAGCAAAAAACCCCCCCATAATAATAATAATTATTATTATTAAACAAATCCCTTGTTCCGTTCACCTTGACCTTATTTATGATTTTACGTGCAAATGTTTTGACAATAATGATCATATATTTTGACAAAATATATTTATAACGACATATTAAAAGATAAAAAATAAAGCGAGTCATTATTTTAAAGGTAAACGTGAGATATATTTGTCTGTATGCATCAGTGTTTCTCAACCTTCCTAAGGTCACGGCTCCTTGATAGAGTTCCTTATGTTGTGGTGACCCCCATCACACCATAACATTATTTTTGTTGGGTTGTTGTAATTTTTTGGGGGCTATATGGCCATGGTCTAGAGGCATTCTCTCCTGACGCCCTGGTCATTCCACAGATATATAAACCCCTTTTCCTAGTTCCAACAGACCTCACTACCTCTGAGGATGCTTGCCATAGATGCAGGCGAAACGTCAGGAGAGAATGCCTCTAGACCATGGCCATATAGCCCAAAAAACCTACAACAACCCAGTGATTCCGGCCATGAAAGCCTTCAACAATACATTATTTTTGTTCCTACTTCATAAGTCTAATTTTGTTACTGTTATGAATTGTCATGTAAATTGTGAATTGTCATTCACTGGACCACATTTGGCACAAATACCGGATACGTCCAAATTTGAATACTAGTAGGGTTGGGACAGGATTGATTGTGTCAAAGAATCCTAGAGTTGGAAGAGACTTCGTGAGCCATCCACTCCAACCCCATTTTGCTAAGAAGCAGGAAAATCGTACTCAAAGCACCCCTGACAGATGGCCATCCAGCCTCTGTTTAAAAGCCTCCAAAGAAGGAGCCTCCACCACACTCCGGGACAGAGAGTTCCACTGCTGAACAGCTCTCACAGTCAGGAAGTTCTTAGAATCACAGAATCAAAGAGTTGGAAGAGACCTCCTGGGCCATCCAGTCCAACCCCATTCTGCTAAGAAGCAGGAAAATCGTACTCAAAGCACCCCTGACAGATGGCCATCCAGCCTCTGTTTAAAAGCCTCCAAAGAAGGAGCCTCCACCACACTCTGGGCAGAGAGTTCCACTGCTGAACAGCTCTCACAGTCAGGAAGTTCTTCCTAATGTTCAGATGGAATAACCTCATGGGGCATCCAGTCCAACCCCATTCTGCCAAGAAGCAGGAAAATCACATTCAAAGCACCCCTGACAGATGGCCATCCAGCCTCTGTTTAAAAGCCTCCAAAGAAGGAGCCTCCACCACACTCTGGGGCAGAGAGTTCCACTGCTGAACAGCTCTCACAGTCAGGAAGTTATTCCTCATGATCATAGAATCAAAGAGTTGGAAGAGACCTCATGGGCCATCCAGTCCAACCCCCTGCCAAGAAGCAGGAATATTGCATTCAAATCACCCCTGACAGATGGCCATCCAGCCTCTGTTTAAAAGCCTCCAAAGAAGGAGCCTCCACCACACTCCGGGCAGAGAGTTCCACTGCTGAACAGCTCTCACAGTCAGGAAGTTCTTCCTAATGTTCAGATTGAATCTCCTTTCTTGTAGTTTGAAGCTATTGTTCTGCCTCCTTGTTTCCAGGGCAGGAGAAAACAAGGATGTGGGAGTTGGGAGTTGTAGTTGTTGGGATTTATAGTTGACGTACAATCGAAGAGCATTCTGAACTCCACCAACAATGGAATTGAACCAAACATGGCACACAGAACTCCCATGACCAACAAAAAATACTGGAAGCGTTTGGTGGGCATTGATTTTGAGTTTTGGAGTTGTAGTTCACCTACATTCAGACAGTACTGTGGACACAAACTAGGTCAGAAGTTGTACCTGGATGTCCAGATGATGTCCAGGGGTTTTTAGCACCGGGATTGTGGCGCAGCTGGCTGAGTGTCAGCTGCATTAAGATCACTCTGACCAAAAGGTCATGAGTTCGAAGCCAGCCTGGGTTGGAGTGGGTTTCCAACCAATTGTGTGTAGCCTGTTGTCGACCTTTGCAACCCGAAAGACAGTTGCATCTGTCAAGTAGGAAAATTAGGTACCACCTTAAAGTGTGGGGAGGCTAAATTAACTGATGGAATTGAACCAAACTTGGCACGCAGAACTCCCATGACTAACTGAAATACTGGAAGTGTTTGTTGGGCATTGGCCTTGAGTTTTGGAGTTGTAGTTTACATCCAGAGAGCACTGTGACTCAAAAAATGATGGATCTGGACCAAACTCGGCACACATACTTAATATACCCAAATGTAACACTGGTGAAGTTTGGTGAAAATATTTATTTATTTATTTATTTGCTGTATTTGTATATCGCCTTTCTCAGCCTATCTGCGACTCAAGGTGGTTTCCAACAAAACAGTATACATAGTATCATAGTACAATTTAAACCATTAAAATTACATAAATCACAACAATAAAAACAACATCATTGGCCTCTCCTTATTGTCAAGCATTGTCCAGTTCCATCGTCAGTCATCAGTTCCTATGTCAGTTATCTGTATCTGTTACTCTGTGTTTGTGAACGCTTGCTCAAACAGCCACGTTTTGAGTTGCTTCCGAAACATTAAGAGGGAGGGAGCAGATCTAATCTCTCTGGGGTGTTCCATAGCCGGGGGGCCACCACTGAGAAGGCCCTGTCTCTCGTCCCTGCCAAACGTACCTGTGACGAAGGCAGGGCTGAGAGCAGAGCCTCTCTGGACGATCTCAAGGTCCTAGGTGTTGGGAGTTGTAGTTGCTGGGATTTATAGTTCACCTACAAACAAAGAGCATTCTGAACCGCACCAACGATAGAATTGGGCCAAACTTCCCACACAGAACCCTCATGACCAACAGAAAATACTATGTTTTTTGATGGTCTTTGGTGACCCCTCTGACACTCCACTCATGACCCCCCCCCCCAGGGGTCCCAATCCCTAGGTTGAGAAATGCTGATTTAGAACCTTGTTCTCTCTGCAAGCTTTCCAAGGTGTCTTAACTCTTTCTTTTTCTCCTTCTTTCCTTTTTCTCCTCCTCCAGGCGGTAGGCATTCCAACCCTCCTCCTTTGTTGCCTTTGAGATTGTTTTAATTGCTAACTTTTCTGGTCAATGCAGTTTGAGGTATGGATAGGATTAGATTTCCTCCAACCTCCCATTCATGTAGCCATCACCATTCCTTTCACATCTCTTTCTTGACTTCTAACTATATATATATTAAAGCAATGCACTGAGATTTTAATTGTTGCTTTGGCTGACGAGCCCAACCCTGTTTCGTATTGTATGCTATCCAGTCTGTGGATGCTGATGCTCGGCTTAATGCTGATACTCTGTTTTGCTTTTCTGTTTTGAAATGTCTTCTTCTGTGCATCCACCCATGTCTCTCCACTTGTACAGTTTGGGGATCCTTTGAGTCTTAGGAGACAACGAGCTGAACATAGAATCATAGAATCAAAGAGTTGGAAGAGACCTCATGGGCCATCCAGTCCAACCCTCTGTCAAAGAAGCAGGAAAATTGCATTCAAATCACCCCTGACAGATGGCCATCCAGCCTCTGCTTAAAAGCTTCCAAGGAAGGAGCCTCCACCACACTCTGGGGCAGAGAGTTCCACTGATGAACAGCTGTCACAGTCAGGAAGTTCTTCCTCATGTTCAGATGGAATCTCCTTTCTTGTAGTTTGAAGCCATTGTTCCATTGCGTCCTAGTCTCCAGGGAAGCAGAAAACAAGCTTGCTCCCTCCTCCCTGTGGCTTCCTCTCACATATTTATACATGGCTATCATATCTCCTCTCAGCCTTCTCTTCTTCAGGCTAAACATGCCCAGTTCCCTAAGCTGCTCCTCGTAGGGCTTGTTCTCCAGACCCTTGATCATTTTAGTCGCCCTCCTCTGGACACATTCCAGCTTGTCAATATCTCTCTTGAATTGTGGTGCCCAGAATTGGACACAATATTCCAGGTGTGGTCTAACCAAAGCAGAATAGAGGGGTAGCATTACTTCCCTAGATCTAGACACTATGCTCCTATTGATGCAGGCCAAAATCCCATTGGCTTTTTTTGCCGCCACATCATTTGTTTGTGGGTTCAACTAGGGCAATGCTTAGGACAGTGGTTCTCAACCTTCCTAATGCCATGATACCTTATTACAGTTCCTCATGTTGTGGTGACCCCGCAACCATAAAATTATTTTCGTTGCTACTTCCTAACTATAATTTTGCCACTGTTATGAATCGTAATGTCAAACTACAACTTAGTACTGAGCCAGGGCAGTTCAAGTGATACCAAAACATAGTGTCTAGATCTAGGGAAGTCATGTTACCCCTCTATTCTTTATTAATGACTTAGATGAAGGGTTAGAAGGCAGGATCATCAAGTTTGCAGACGACACCAAATTGGGAGGAATAGCCAATACTCCAGAGGACAGGAGCAGGATTCAAAACGATCTTGACAGATTAGAGAGATGGGCCAAAACTAACAAAATGAAGTTCAACAGTGACAAATGCAAGATACTCCACTTTGGCAGAAA